AGAGAAAATACATCTGAACACCCGAGCAGGATTTGTGGATGTACGCTGTTACAGTCAGGATCGATCGACAATTTAATATTGTTATAAAGGAGAAAGTTCTTACCTTTTTGGCTGAGAGGTATACGCTTTAGAGGTTTGGAGATGGTCTCGATCCTAATTACTGTGATTTCATGTTGCGTTCCATAGACATCCCACAGTTTTACTGCGGCAACTCCACAGTTCTTTTTGACTTCGTTAAGAGCAGCGAACGTGTTAACGGATAATTCTACGGAATCAATATTTCGTAAATGAAGACGTTAAGCCAATTCGTTGGTGATAAATGAACGATCGGATCCTGTATCAAGCAAGAGAGCTACTGGTTCATTTGTCTGACTGAATGGGTTGAAGATATGTGCTTGTGCTGCCAAAACTTGGACACTCGTTGTGTCTTCTTTCATTGCGTAGAGTATGGCCGTATCATTCTTATAGTTTTGTTGGGTTTCTACTGCATTGATTTGTGATTGCGTAGTCTTTTTGCCTTTCGTAGTGTTGACAGGCCCTTTTCGTTTGTTTCTTTGGTCTACTTCTGACTGATTAAGCTGTTCTTTGAAAGGTTGTTGGCGCTTACAAATGAACGTGTGATGTCCACCATTACTGCATACTCGGCAGCACCCGCTTTTGCAAGCCGATGTTTGGTGAAACTTTGATCCACAGTTAAAGCAAAGATTCCGATCTTTTATAATCTGTACTCTTTCTTCATATGTTCGCACTTTTTTGCAGTCAATTGGGAAACGTCCTTGTGTTCCACAATAGACTCATGGATACATTTTGCTCGTGTACATGCGGGTTTGAGGCCCAAAAGTTTGCTGTAGGGCTCTATTTCGAGTGCCTCTCAAGTCTGATGTAACACTGATGTTTCTTCCCAGCTGTTCTTGTATCCTGAGCTCCCTGCTTGTGTATTCATTGATAGATTTCAAAAATATCTTCGGTTTTGTGTGTTTTATCGGATTCTCGAGTTTTTTGATCCAGTACGTGTCTTTGGATATCTCTCGTAAATTTCGTAAGAAGTCGATTTTGCAGGTACATGGTGTCTACAAATTCCCCATTGTGAGCCAAGTGGCTGATTACGGAAAACAAATGATCGCGCAATGTTAGCTGATCTTCAAGGCGGTCGCTCTTTGCTTTGGCCGTCTGAACTCTGTTGAGTAATTCGTCCAGCAGACCTTGTTTGTTAGCGTACTTCTGCTTTAGATAGATGATAACCATCTGGTGGGGTTCTCTTGTATTCTGTGTTGATTAACGAATGTTTTTGCTTTTCCTTCAAGAGAATCTAATAGGTAGCTCATTTTTAAGAAGTCGTCCATTTTTTGTGAATGCACTGAGTGGTTGAACGCTTCCCAAAAGGTGTGCCACTCCCATAGTTTTCCGCTGAATTTTGGAATAGGTATAGGTGGGAGCTTTTCTGCTTGAGGACTGAAATTTGCACTACTCGAAACGATGTTTTTTGTATCTTCTAAAGTGTTCTTCAGTTCGAAGAACTTGAAGAGATAACGTGCAGCTCTATCAAGTAACTCGAGTGTTTTTTCGGTGTTTGCATTAATTCTACCGCGTGCATCCTCCACTAATGGGATGTTAGGATCAAGGTGATCCACTTCTTCACTATACTTATTGAGTGCTATGTGGACGTTTTCCATTTCGAACTGAATGGCGAATATTGCATTCGTGATGCTCTTTATTAGCGTATTGACGTAGGAAATGCGGTCGAATTCATCAAAGGAAAACTCTACTTGAGACAATGCTAAGTGTTCACTATCGTCAAGATTAGTTAGGAGACGGTTAGTAGCCCTTGTTAAAGCTCCTTGACGTGAAGACATTGAGGAAGTCATTATAAGCGAAAGTAAACGTACTGCTTTCTCCGTTTCAGACTTATTGTCCTGTGACTTCATAAACAGCAGCTNTGAAGAGATAACGTGCAGCTCTCTCAAGTAACTCGAGTGTTTTTTCGGTGTTTGCATTAATTCTACCGCGTGCATCCTCCACTAATGGGATGTTAGGATCAAGGTGATCCACTTCTTCACTATACTTATTGAGTGCTATGTGGACGTTTTCCATTTCGAACTGAATGGCGAATATTGCATTCGTCATGCTCTTTATTAGCGTATTGACGTAGGAAATGCGATCGAATTCATCATAGGAAAGCTCTGCTTGGGACAATGCTAAGAGTTCACTGTCGTCAAGATTAGTTAGGAGATGGTTAGTAGCCCTTGTTAAAGCTCCTTGACGTGAGCACATTGAGGAAGTCATTATAAGCGAAAGTAAACGTACTGCTTTCTCCGTTTCAGACTTATTGTCTTGTGACTTCTTTAACAGTAGCTTGGTTGTTGCACCAAACTTTACTGATTCGGACAATGCATCAGAATATTGCAGTTGCTAGTCGAAAATAGGCCTTTAAGTCAGTTCTCGGCACCGAATAATCATTAGCTTTTAGCAGAATGCTCGACTTCGGGAAAAAATCCCACACGGAGCTTTTCGCTGTTGTCACAAAACAATACCTCAAACTTGGGTAATTAAATCGTTTATACACATAAATGCAACATCAATACAACACTAACAACGACAGAGAACTACTGACAAACAAATAAGGCAAGTTCAAGGCTATGAGGTGCTGTACCTACCAATAAAGCGAGGCTTACGAAGGCATAAAAGTGTTGTAAATAGTGATTTTGTTCGTATTTTTCAGCTTCATCGTTCGTATGTACTTCAGGTTTTCTTTAATGATAAATAGTTTATCAAGAATAACGAAAACAATTGTAAGGTGAACTAGGACACTGTGTTTAAGCCAGAAATTCTGCGGCACGCATATTTTTACTCATAAGGTGAATCGTCCTCCTTTTGCAAACCAGTTCGGAACTTTCCAGCACGGTATCTCACGATTACAGGGAGAATCGACTCGACCAGCATTTTATGACATTCAAGATGAAATGAAAATCTTCAAACAGTTGCCGAAACCTCAGATAAATGTTGGAAGATCTGTAAACATTTTATATGTTATGAAAATTTTGCAATTTTGTAAAATGGAGAATTGCTGTTTTTTGTTTCAGAAAATTTATTGAAAAATAATAAAGGTTTTGCTAAAAGCAAAGTATTCTATCCTTGTGCTGCTATGTGGGCCACATGTAACACAGCGGTTAGAAGCTCAGCTCAGTACACATGTGGTATTTGGTTCGATACCATATCCCGGGCTCAGCAAGCCTTCCATCTTTCAAGAAAAGTTGTGAGTGCATAGCGTGCCCTGCAAGTAAAAAGCATAAATTGGAGGAGTGCACATCTTCTGGAAAAAAGGCTAAAGCAAGACGAAACGGTTTAGGAACTGAACAATAATCCTTGCGCACTGTTTGCGCAAGGGAGATTGCCTTGAAGTTGTGAATCACATGCTGCTTTCCTGCTCTTACCGAGATCCCACTCGTATCAGCACGGCTCTGAAGGAGTAATCGCCAAAACGTCAGCAATCGACCAACAATACCAAAAATTGGGGATTCATACCCGTGGCTGAGTCACCGAAGATGTGAAACAACCCGGCGTTTCCATTAGGAGCTTGGCTAAGAGTAAACCAATTCCAGTATCCACTACCGCTCTGGTATAAAAGTCGCATGTGGCAAATCTCCCTATGATCCACAATGGCTGCGATTTCCTGTGGTGGTGATGACCTGGGGCAAACTTTTGCCAGGCTGACCTCGGGTTTTCAGGGAATTTGAAGCGGAAAATATCCATTTCGATTGGCTATGAAATATTCGCTCTTCAGCACAGGCTTGAGGAAAAACCACGCCCAAAAACGATAGTTCTAGGAAGAACAAGGCTTCGTTCATCTTCCTCTTCATTTCAAACGAAATGCGGGCAACTGCAAAACGTGGCTTAAGAGCTGGTCTAGATAACTCGGTAAAAGTGATAGAAATAGCTCTGGATACTCTAAGATCGTTGCTATCAGCAATCACCCGTCAACGGGAGTGATCTGGAAAAGACAAATCGGCAGTGAACTTAGGAAAAGTGAAGTTGCAGTCGAAACCACAGTGTTTTAAACTTCAGGCAGTAAATGAAAGCCAAGATATTTTTATTTCCTCTTCACCTTCAGTTTAACTGTGTTCAATTCCGATATGTGCTCCTCACCTCATTTCCATTGACGGCTGATTGCTGACAGCATTGCTAGGAAGAAAACTGGCGAAGAGAAAGACAAAGCAAAAGTCTTGACGGTGCAGTGGGCAGCGCGCGAACCCTTGCACAGGTTAAATAGCGGGTTCGAAACTCGCATGGTGTTTGAAGTAATGCTACTTCTAAGCATGATTCGCGCGTGTATTTCACGTAATACCCTATGGTCACAGCAGTGAAATACTATAAGTGAAAGTTAAACATTCTTCTAAGAATAATTTGTTTAAGATCAAAGAATCAAACAGTCTGAACTTAACAAACCGTGAATTATTAGATCACTGTATTTTGGTGCCAAGTATAAAATCCATGCTCTGGAGAAAGCTACTGTAACGAACAGAACGAAAGTGAGAATGACAAGGCTCTGAATCGGGCGATGCTGCCGAAACGTCGGCTGCTGTTGTGTTTTATGTGTTCTCTTTGTAAGCAATTAAAAGTGTGCTGATCGTAATAAAGGAGAGGTGAGCTGAAAAACAACCTCGCGATTGCTGCGGAAAAGAGAACAACAGATTAACAAGAAAACTGTTGATTACAATCAAACACGAAACAGATCCTCATTTTAGCCTATTTCTTTAACATTTTACCACAAAGAATAGCAGGTGATTTTACTGGGACAAAAAATTCTGATTACGGACTGTATCGATATCCCCATAACTGGAATACTCCTTCAGAAATATGGATAAAACCTATCAGAGTGCACACTATGTGGTAAATAGAGTGGATGAAGCAAATTCTTCCCAGTGCTCGAAGTTTTTGTCTTGTTTCTGGCGAAGCTTGTGGTCCACTGCAAACATCTGGAGTAGTTCTCCTGCCTATCAATACAGTTTGGTGAGTCTCTTTGAAGGCGAAGAAAAAGAATCGAATGCAAAAGTGGCGCGTGATCTGCACGGTGGATGTCGTTGCAGGTCATGTGAAATGTAAAATATAGGTATTCTCAACATACCATATGAGCTTGTTCATTTTTTTTGGCTTCAAATGTATTCCTATCAATCGTTTTCACAGAGGAAAGTTGTATTTATTTATGTTTAGTATGGGTGGTAAATTGGTCCCAATAGGTGCTAGGTATGCTGAAGCAGTATTCAGAGACCGTTTCAATTCCAAAGATAAATTCTTCGTTGCTCATTTGAAAGTGCAAGCTCCGAAGTAAAAATCGCAGCCATGACTCTCATAAAAAGTCCCAGACGATCTGACGGGTACAAGGTTGGACATTTTTTCATTATTTTTTATTGTACATGAGCCGACATCACATGTTGTGAATATCCCAGCACTTCGCTCATTCGATTCGTTTCATCGCATCCGTTATTCACGGAGGTGATCACATTTTGCGTGAAGGAACAGCTCCAGTTTGAGGATTTTTGCATTTCTTCATAAAAGCCATTGTGTTCTGGCAGCATCGATTCTCCCAGTTATCCTGGGATAGCCTGGCTAGCACGTTCCCACAGCTTATCGCAACGAGCCTTTGTAAATTTAAGGCAGCTATCCACACTACCACGTATTTTCTGACCTCTTAGAAATGGAAAACTTGGTTGCTCCAGAACACAGTCGAGCCAAGATGTAGCGCACACTAAACGGTATCACTGGGCGCCACTGCGCCATTCATGCTGTCAGAGTTAAGGCTATAATTGTTATTTTGGTATAATATTGAAATAATGGTTGTGTAAATTTAAGGCTGACATATTTATAGCTGAGATGATTCATTTATCGTCTCACGCGACGAATTTGCTGCTCGTAGTTGGAGGATTCAAAGTAACATCCAGAGGGGAGGTGATGATAAAGGTGGGCGGGAAAAACTTTCGAGGCACTCTGGATTAATTCCAGAAATGCGAAAATGAATCGCCTGAAGAAGAATGAAGAATGCCTGAAGATGATTGAAGAATGCCTCATTATCACGCGTGATTTAGGGCAGTATATAAAACTGCTTTTCTCATGTGAGGGGCACATTATACTTCCACGTGATTTCTGTGCGGTTGGTCTCTACGTGACATACTTAGTGGACACCTCATAGAAAGCGGTGAGTGTGCAAAGCTGTGTTCAATGTGATTGAAATCTTGGTTTAGAGTTTCTTTGTTTGGTTATGGAGGCGTCTGGCCAAGTAGATTGCTGTCAACTTGACCTTTCCAGGCTCTGAGGAAGGCGAAATCCGCCGAAACGTCAGCTCATTTGTGAATAAAGAATAATAACACCTCGCGTTTGCTCAACAAAAATACGAAGAATTACTTGATCAATGCCGAGGTTAATAGAAAGTCGGTCGTGGGAGTTACTGAAAGATGTACCAGCAAGATACTTCCGACTTGTAAAAGAAGCGCTGTCACTGAGACAAAAGATCGTCTTAGCTCGACAGTCAATACACTTTCTCCGCCGCTGTCTAAAACATCAAGTCGCTCCGAACTTCATCAAACGAAGACGACTACACGACGTATGCGGTNTGTTCAAAGTGATTGAAATCTTGGTTTGGGGTTTCTTTGTTTGGTTATGGAGGCGTCTGGCCGAGTGGATTGCTATCAACTTGACCTTTCCAGGCTCTGAAGAAGGCGAAATCCGCCGAAACGTCTGCTTTTTCGTGAACACAGAATAATAACATCTCGCGTTTGCTCAACAAAAATACGAAGAATTACTTGATCAATGCCGAGGTTAATAGAAAGTCGGTCGTGGGAGTTACTGAAAGATGTACCAGCAAGATACTTCCGACTTGTAAAAGAAGCGCTGTCACTGAGACAAAAGATCGTCTTAGCTCGACAGTCAATACACTTTCTCCGCCGCTGTCTAAAACATCAAGTCGCTCCGAACTTCATCAAACGAAGACGACTACACGACGTATGCGGTGTACCAGAGGACAGTCACCAAGTATTGGACGTCGAATTGCGAATACTACGCACTTGTCTGCGAAGCCGACAAAAGTAGATGTTCGCCAAGTGGAAGAAGTGCGAGACGAAGGAAAACTTTTGTGCTCAATATTTGGAGGACCACCTCTGGAGGAGAATAGTGGGCGGGTCAGCGTTGATTTTCAACTCTATTAGGTCTAATGCTAAAGTAGCTTTGCGAAAAAAATTCGAAGACCTTTTGAGTAAATCACATAACACAGCTTCAATAGCGCACAAAAATAC